CTCTGATCATCAGAGGGGTCTTTTATACCAGGGCCTGCACAGCAGCAGCTCCATGGTGGCTATGGGGAAGGCAGGGCTGCTGAGTCACAGTTTGGGAGGATATGGTCTCCCCTCCCCTGGAGCCTCTGGTATGTCATCTGTGTTCTGTTACTATAGAAAGAAAGAAAAAAGAAATATATGAAAAATATATGGCAACTAACAAAGTAGTCATACAGCAATAACTTGACATGTTAACAGGTTATATCAGAGTGTTAATGCCACTCTCATGTCTGTATGGCAAAACTAAACCTACCACACATATACTCTCTTAGCATAGCTTAGGATAACAACTGCAACGCAAGGATACTGACTGACTGTGGTGCAGTTCACTCCAGAACCTCATTATTAGTGCACAAACCTTGTGTAAAAAGGTTTGGAGTTTGTGCAGGACCAGGAGCTTGGAGAGTTTCAGGTGGTTTTCTGGTGAATTTATCATGAGAAAACATTGCCTTTCTTGCTAAACCCAGGCAGGAATTAGTTCCACAGAAGGTAAAAATAAATAAATAAATAAATAAATAAATAAATAAATAAATAAATAAATAAATAAATAAATAAAGAAGAAGAAGAAAAAGAAAAAGAAAGGGAAATTTTGTTAGGGTTTTTTTTACACTGTTCCAAATTAAGCAGAACATCTTCTGACTCTAACTTCATCTCTAGTGTACAGACATGAGTGATGGGAGGTTACAGTCTTCTTATCTTGTGCTCATCGATAAAAACTACAAAGGGTATTTCCCAAAACGTCAAACCAGCCTTGCTGTGAAGTTTATCTTGTCTTAAAATGAAACCATTTTATTAAACTGTATCTTTTCTCCTGTTTCCCCCCCTGTCCTCTCCAAATCGATGTATATCTATTCTTCCTTTGCAGAGTACAGCCAGCCTGGTTTTTATCACTCAGTCAGTTTACAACGAGGAACAGTAAACCCCTGGCAAGCGGCGCAGCCACCTCAGGAGCCTCATGGGCCTCATATAAATCCTGTGTGAGCATATCATATATTATTCTAGACATAATACAGGAAATCCACTGTATATATAATTTTGAACCATTAGTGATAGTTGACTCTTAAATGCCATGTTCACAAGCAGTTTTGACTGTCTTTAAATTATCTTCAAGCTACTTCTAGTGCCCCTTAGCTGTAACTCCAGGACTGATGACGTGTTTCAATCCAAATTCATTTCCTCCACCCTCTTGTTGTTTTCAGAGGGTCCAGCGGGGGATGCTCTTTCCCCTCTCAGTCCTGCACTCCAACCTCTCCGCATCTGCCGTCCCTCAACCTCAACATCAAATCGGAGCGTAGCTCTCCTGAGCACATGGCCTCACCTGCCTCCCCTCCTCTGCACCACCTCAGGCAGCATTCTCCAATGAGCAACCCCGATTCAGCTCGTCATACCCCTCCAGATAGCCACCCAGCCAATGGCACAAAAGAGTTTGCCAAAACCGGCTACCCACAAGACCAAGAGGAAGGAGGGCAGTCGCTCCGGCAGTTAGAGATGAGCGACGGCTGGCAGAGATAGCCAGCTGCTCCGCTCTACAACCCACTCTCAGTCAACATCTGTCTTCAGACAAAACCATAAAGGGTCGACATATGCCTCTCTTTGTCTCCTCAAACAGAGCTGGTCTCTCCTGGGCAGTGGAGAATTCTTCTCTGCATCACTTGCTTGATCCCATGAGGAGATAGATGCATACAGACTTTTGCTTTTTGTTTGGTTAGAGTTAGTTTTCTGTGTGGAGCTAATGTGAATCAAAAGTACAAGTTGGAAATGTGATTGTTTTCTTGTGACTTTGTTGAAGTTGGGCACAGCAGCAGTGTGGGACCAACTGAATTTCTCTGAAGTGCACATATGAAAAAAAAAAAAACGTCCATACATATTCAGCTTTCAAAGCCAAAATAAAATAAAATATAAAAAAAAAAATAGGAGGTACTAAAAAAGTAGCTTGACTGGGGTTTTATGTGATAAGGTTACACAACAGGGCATTTAATTGGATACGTTCTTAAAATAAAAGGTTTTTTTAAGTTATCACAGTTTTTCCTTTTTCTCCTTTCAGATGTGAAAATACCTTCGTAATGGAATTTTAATGAGAGAAATCTAGGTATGAAAGCCACTGTCTATTTTTTCCTTAACAACACATAAAATTCAGCTAACAGGAGGTTTCTTCTGTCTGAATTATTTGTTTTGTCCAGACAGTGTTTTATTGCTGTTGCTTTACAAAGCACATTCTCATGTTAAAGCAAAGGCATCCTTTGTAGAGAAACAAAGAAAAAGGAAGTTTCGCTCTGAAAACATCCCAACTTAAATGAGACTGCCGTAGCCTCAGATTGTCTTCCTGTGTCTTGGCCCCACATCTCTTACAAATGATTCACAACAAAAGAAGATATTTGCAGAACTGGAGGGACATTTTGCAGCAGTATCATCTAAAAAAAAAAAAGAGTTGAAAAAATGTGAACCCACCCTTTTAAGATTCTGGGCATCAATCTGTGTCAGAGATTAGGTCAATGAGCTCTTTGGGATGTAAAAATGGTTTTCTTTTTCAAGTGTTGTTTTTTTTTTGTTTTTTTTAAATCTTTAGTATTGTTGTAATATGATCATTTTATGTTATCAGAAACACTCACAGCAGTCTGCTAAGACCAAAGTGTTTAATTATTGTCCCTCTGCATTGCACACAAATACTGCAACAGCCCAAAAAGGATCTATTTGTCTTTATTTGGTCGATTTTTTCTAAACAGCAGCAATCATGTGCTCTTCCTGAAGGGCTTTGTGTAGTAAGTGTTTAGAGTAGATATTCCTGCGTTTATGATGTGTTAAAACACGAGACAAGCTGTAGTAGATGAGTCCAAATATCCATTCATTTGTTCATTTATTATCCGGGCTTCATTTATGTATACATTTACTTTTTAATCTTGTGCACTGGATACCTCTATGTCTTTTAGTTTTGCGTTTTCAGTTTCTGATCTTCAAATGACAAAAAAATAAAAAAAAATTTTTTAAAAAGGAGATAATTTTCATTCACTGTCCACAAGGGGTCGTCTTATTTCACACTTTTAATCTGACTGAGACTGGTTAAAGTGCAGAGCAGTGAAGACCAGCCTTAAAAGGTAATTCTTTATCTAATAAATCGGTTAATCGGCTCATTAAATTAAACTCCTGCTAAAATCCAGCTTGTGGAGGTTTTCAAATACAAGTTCCACTGTCGATTTATCTCTCTTTTCATGATATGTGGATTTTTGTGGATTAATATTAGCATGAAACATGAAAAGCCAAGTTGTCAGTATTCTGATGTTTCTGGTTGATTTTTTTAAACACGTATATACATACATATTTGCTGGATGCTTCACTAACAAAACAGAGGCATTTTTTGACATTTTTTGTGAATCATTTTAAAATAAAGACTGTTTACTTTGTGTGTTTGCCCCAGTCTGAGTTTTTTGTGTTTTTTTTTTTAATTTTAGGACATTCAGTTTATCATTTTTCTCAGATGAAAAAAATGTCATAATTAATTAATTAATAATTAATAAATTAATGGCATAAAAGGGAATCATTTCCCTCTGTTTTTATGTACATTAATTCTGAAAGCAGGTAAAGTGCCCTTCACTGTGTAGCTTTCATGTGTCCATTTATTTCATTTTATTCACCTGCATTCTATCTTTTGAATACACACACACTCCCTCATTATCATGTCAGGGCCCTGTCAGGCAGCTCACCATGCACCCACCAAACGAGAGGAACAAAAATATACCACGCAAAAGCCTGGAAACCTTTATTTCTTCCAAACAAGACAAAAAAGGGGGCACAAATAGGGTCATTTCCATAGCTGGTTGTTTCATAGTAACCATGCCAAAATGTTTTCCTATGCTGCCTCTATGGAGAATTGACCTGCCTTTTCACGGTGGGCACACACAGAGACACACACACAGTATTGAGCTGTCGTCTCTCCACCTTAAATGACGAGACTTTCACTGGGGTCATGTCTGGTCTGATGAGACTAGACCAGGCCCAGTCTGTAAGGCATATCTGGGTCCTATGTATACACACACACACACACGCAGACATACATTCTAGCCTCTATAGCAACCACAGCCGGCCATGGCTGTCTGACTTGCCTTGTTGCAGTCCATAGAGCGATGAGGGGCCGAGGCCTCCAGCACAGATGCGTAAAAGTAATCACCATTCAGTTCATGAGGCCAGGCATTCTTACAGGCCCACCAGAGAGAAGGATGAGCTTGACTCAAATTAAACCGATGTTCCACAGCAACAAAAACATTGTCCTAGAAATTTTTCTGCACTTACTGAGATGTAGGATTTGCTAACTGGTGTGCTCTCAAATCTGTTTGCTTCTCAGTGGCTTTGCGATTGTTAATGTCTTTCAGTTGTCCATATAAAAAGACAGTGAGGTGAGGAGCATGTCCCTTCTTTTACTGAAGGATGCTCACAACGTTTGACTGGAGGAAGAATTTAAATCATGTCAGCTTTTAAACAAGGAGCCACTCTCTTCTCATTATTGCAAAAAGCTGACGTGACAATTGACTGGCATGTGATTTTGAAGGTTTTGATGTCACAAAATACATATGAATGATTTAAACTGCACTGTCAAACAGAGATTATGCAGTTCACTGCATAAAACCTGTCCATTAACTGGATTATTTTGCTGCTACAGCCAAGCTCATCCACCGCAAACATTTCTTCTCAGAGTCCAGGGGGCATTAGGTTCATAATAATTACCAGTGATTAAAGAACGATCTTCTCAGGAGGTTGGGGTCAGAGATCAGCACCCTGCACAGCGACTAGACGCTCCATTGTCATCCATGTCTTTTGTCAATGGAGTACTAGTTCTTTAAAAGGAAATGTTCTATCTGTAACATCTCCCACGCTCCGTGGTGGAAGGAGGAAATAACGGAGAAAGTCAAAATGAAGTGAAAACAGCAAATCTTTTTATTAGGACCACACATGGGGGAAAAAAAAAAAAAAAAAAAAATCAGGTTACAGCCAAAGTGTTGCACAACATGCATTCAGAAAATCTCCTAAGGGAACATTTCATATCAACTTCACAGTATAATGATATCAGAGCATTCAAATACGCCATCTAAAGAAAACATACTAATGATCAAAACCATCCACAGAGTTAATCAATGTATCATAAATAAAATAAATAAAACACACTGATGAAGACTGATTCAGAGAAGGTTTTGATTAGTCTGACATATACATGGCTGATTGGCAGCAACAACAAAACCTATGAAGTAAAAGACGCGATTAAGACACTGCAACTAGCATGTTGTTCATGGGTAGTGTTTGAAAATTAATGGGTAAAACAGAAATGTACCTGCAGTGTTCACTGCAGAATATCAGCTTGTTCTAAATACACATGAACAGGGAGGAAGGAGATTTCAAAACATTCAAAATCCCTGAGCTCCCAGGCACTTCAAGATAAAGAGCAACAGCTCCACGGTGTTTGGCTTTCAAACACTAATACACAGCCACACTGCATTACACTCAGTAGGCTCGATCTGAAAATTACGCCCACACAGAAAAACAGGAAAAAGAAGCAGAAAAAGACACGCACGCACACATACACACAAAATCAAAACAACACAAAACCAAAAAAATAAAAAATAAAAAATCCCCCCCAAAAAATAAAACTCAAAAAGTAGCACTCGTGAATCGGTTCTTTAAGGACTGCAAAGAGTCCCTCACAAAAATATGTCTTATTACTCAGGCATTAAAATATTCATACTTGTCCTGGTACCTCCAAATATCATAAATGCAGCATTTAACAGTGTTCCTTTGAAAATTAAAAAAAACAACAACAAAAAAACAAAACTCAGTAACACTGGCATAGATACATGTGAGAAGTTGCAGAAAAATGTTCTATTAAAGAAGTTATTAGATAACACTGGGGTCTGTATCACAAAGAGAGCTCCGTAGGTAATCCAGCAGCATTTGGGATTAACTCTGGTTTAACATCATCACAAAGCTGGTTCAATTTTAGCCTCAGTAAATAACAATGGTAACCAACACTGTATGATTAACCTGCTTCAGGCAGGGTTACCTTTCAGGAAAACAGACTTTAACAAGTCTTTCTGGGAAAAGAGAAAACAAAACAAAAACTGGACTCTTCAGTATCCTGACAATTACTGAGCACTTTGCATTTAAAACAAGAGTTTTAATAAACAATTCGTATACCAGTTTGTCTTACTCTCATCTAGGGTGAGGCAATTATAGCTGCATGTCAAGTAAGCATACGGTTACAGGCACCATTCATTAACAGTTAAAGCAAATGCACTATTTTGGTCAGATAAACAAATCAGATTTGTTTTTGTTTGTTAATCTAAATCCAGAGGCAATTCCTGCAGAATTCCAGGTTTTATCAATGCAATATCCAAATTAACTTGCTGGTGAATGTTTTGAACCTGAATGTGAACTCTGTCATATTTCATCACAAGACTATCACGGCCTGCATTAAATTCACTGTAAGAATAATGTGATATCAACTGACTATAAACTCAGTCAAACGTATCCTTCATTTTTGTGGATAACAAAGTTTGGTTTGGCAGCAGCGTGAACAAGGTGGATGAAAGGTGGTTACTACTGCATATCAAGTTAGATTAAACGCTACCAGAATTTCACAACACCAGTAGTGTGCGTAATAGACGCTACACACCTAAAAAGACTGCAAGTTGACCCTTCTAACGCAAATAGTACACAAAAAAAGAAAAAGAAAAGGGCTTTAAGTTTCACTTCATATTTTTCACTTTGTTGTATGCGCCCCACCTGCAGGGACTGCCCCAATGTCTGACAACTACTTTTGCGTTAACCAGTGTGTAGAAACACTGCACTATAAGGCTGTAATAACACCTGCGCTGACATATTTTTTAATGCAACATAATTTTCTTCATTTGAATTATCACCGCTATCATCAGTATCGGTATATGGTGCCACCTTCTGGGCCAATTAAACCCAGATTTTACTGAGCCAATTTAGAATTAGCATTGTGATACATGTTAAGGCGGACTAAACTACCGTTGATTTGTGATGCAGACCCCACTCAGTTTCTTTCTGTATATTTGTGTGTTACTAATGCCAGAGTCCTGCTGGTCTCAAAAAGTTACAAGGTCAAAAAGTAGTAAATATTGCAACAGACAGCATCCAACCTTGATCAGTTACAACCAGAAAGATGGTGCAATCCAGCTGCAGTTCTATTTTAATGAAATGTCCCCTCTGCTGTCTGCAGGCATCCTGTGCAACAGCATAATATGAGCTGATTGCTGGATGTATAGAAGTATGGCACTCCATTTTCCTTAGTTAGTTTTGCATAAGGTACTGGTGGAAGTAGATGCCAAACAGAGAGCTTATGACCTGGCAGGCAGCCACCCACCAGGTGAGAAAGGCAAAAAACCCTCTGTAGAAAAGCGGTGTGAGGACAGATCGCAGCGCTGTGAAAGTCTCTGACAGTCGAGCTACTGTAGCTTGGATGTCTTCCTCCATGTCCTCCATCCCTTCTTCATCTTCATCTAGAGCTCCAGACAAGACAGGTGCAGCTGTGGGCATGATGATTGCTGGTGTCACACCAGGGGTATCCTGGGCACCTGTACTCCAGGAGAAGTCCCCTGCAACAAATAACTGGTTATGTTTCACTAACATTCAGACTGCTTGACCTGTCCAATAAATGCCCAGCTTGCTGGTCAGACAGCCTTGGAATCAAGCTATTTTGCTAATTTTGCTTCTGGGGACAACAGAAAGTTTTTGGGAATATCCAGGCCAAAAAAAACAAAACAAAGATCTTTCATTTTTATCTGCCGCTTGCTTACAATTCCTGATTAATAAACCTAACCTACGGTAATGAAAAGTTAATCTTTGTCAGATGATTGCCAATAATGACCTAACTCATCAACAAATTATTTTCTTTTTTGCTCTCCACATGGCACAGTTATCTGCATGCAGTCAAAACCTGATTGATGGAAACCAGAAAACTTCCAATACCAAAATTCTTATCCCTTGCGACTGGCAGCAGTAGGTTTGCAGTTTCCTGACTAGAACCAGCTAAAATTAGTCCACTTACTCGTAGCACACAGGTGTGAAATGTGTGTGTTGTGTTTAGTTTGTTTGTTTGCTTGTTTTAATCGATTTTAAATCATGCTTTTTATTTGTTTTTGTTTCTAATGTCTCTGTAAAGCACTTTGAATCACCTTGTTGTTGAATTGTGCTATACAAATAAATTTGCCTTGCCTTGCCTTGCCACACAAATTAAATTGTACATTTCCAGGGCAGAATATAGTAAAAGTCTAATTTATTTCAGGGGGGCCTTTCTACTTTATTAGGGTAAAAATTAAGAATAGACAGGAGGGAAAGAGAGTGGGGGAAGACACACAGGAAAAGGCTGCAGGTCGACGTCTAGCCCGAGCCACTGCATTCAGCCTCGTGGTGTATGGTGGAGCTAAATTGCCACCTACAAAAGTCTATTTTTGGATCTGGTTTTTGGCTGGCTAATTTTTCATTGATTGCACTCTGATGCGAACCAATTTCCAATTAAACCTCATTTTTACCGTTATAAGGAACAAGATCAAATGTGACAACCGAGGCAAAATGTGCAACTTCCCATTTATATCAAGCGCCGTCACTTCTACCACATAAAATAACAAGTGACATAAAAGCTAATAGCTAATTAATTCCAATTCCATTAGTGCCTTCTTGTCCAATGCCAATGATTATCTATGAATGCAAAAATGCTCCACTCTATAGCATGACTCCAGGACTGCTGGTATTTTTGAAGTTAACTTTAAGAGAAATCCGTGAACCTTTTGTTCATCAAAAATATTAGGTTGGCAGTATTTATGGATACAAACTATCCACTTCAGACATGTTGAAACTATCAGAAATATTCACTTTGGTTTATGCAACAAACTGCCTGGATGGAGCTTCAGGATGCAGCACACACGGCCCTCGCTCACTAGTGCTCTTAGCAAATTGGCACAATCTGACATAAGGAGCAGTCAATTTAAAAATGGATTAATGTCTGACTAATTTCCAGAGAACTTCAGGCCTGTGAAAGTCTACATGGTTGAGAAAAAGTTCAAATATCAAGATGTGAGTTTCAGTGAGCATTTTACTTACCCAGTGCCTTAAGTGACAGTGTTGAGAATAGGATGAGCAGAATTGGAATCAGATACTGAAGACTAACTACTGTCAGGTAGCAAAACACACGTGTAACCTGGAAGCGGGCACAGAAACTTTACTCGACACAGGCACTCAAGTTTTTATTAAGAATTATCCTTAAATATTTAAACAGGTTTTTTTTAAGTTGTTTTTTATTAAAAACTCTCAATTTGTCTGTTTATAAGATAAAAGCATGCAATACTGAGAAAGTTTAAAACTGCATTTGACCTTTCGTTGGATGTCAATTGCAGCAATACGTCCTGCCTCCTTTTTCATCTGCTCTACCCATTTTTGAGCTAGGTTGAGGTAGGCCTGGAGGTGATAACGGGTGAGACCCAGCCGCAGCACACACGACACCACGATGATCCAAAGACGCATGCTGTCAAATGTTTCGCTGGATACTCTGCAAAGAGTGAAGTTATCAGAGATTAGCCAGGTGTTCACTAAGCGCTGCCTAGAAGAATTCTTCTATTTCCTGATTGTTAGTTCTAGCTTCTCGAAGCCAATCAATCAGAAATGAGCACTCACAGAGTAACAGAAGTCTTTCCCATAGGTGCATTGGCCAGGAAGTCTCTTGCAATGGGTTTCACCCACAAAACCAACACAATGACTGGAGACAGAAAGCCCATATGCAGCAGAATCCTGTCAGGAAACATTAGGGACACAACTGAAAGAGCAGAGTAGAGCTAATGTGTAGTAATAAAAGACATGAAGCACATGCTATTTTTCATATAACAATTCTTACTGGATGAGTGGACGGTCTGAGTTCATCTGCACCGCATCCAAGTGAGTTTGAGCCAGCCGCAGTCCAGGGAAGGCCAAGAGAGCTCCGATGTAGGCACAGACAGCAGCCAAACCAAGCTTCACTGTCAGCTTAGTCACTGGGATTCTGAGTTTAAAGCAACCACTAACAGTAAGTGACACCAATATTTAAGAAGGGCTACTTCCAGCACAGATATCAAACACAGTCAGGCTCATTCCTGTGCCAATTGAAAGATGACTCAACTCATATAAGATTTAATATAAATCAATTTTACTGCAACAAGCATTTCTTTAAAGACAACAGGTCAATATTTCAATCAGAAGTAATCTTTTCATGGAGATACGTACGACCAGTCAGCGTAGCCCTGCTGTTTGACAAAGATTTCCAAGTTGTCAAAGAGGCTGGAAAAACCCGGCTCTAGGCCGAACTCCAGGTAGTCCTCTCTGACAACCAACACTAGCATGGCCACAAGCAGACACAGAAAACCAAAGGCAAGGCACACTGAGCGCTCACCACCCTCCTCAGAGCAGAAGTAGTGGCTCATTAGGGTGTGAAGGGTCTTTCTGTGGGTCAGATGGTAAAGGAAACCAAATAAGAGGTGTTTAAAAAAAAAAAAAAAAAAAAAAAGGAGCTACATATATTTCAGTGATAATTTACCTTTAGTTAAACATGTATAAGACTTACAATTTGTAAGACATTTTTAATGTTTTTATATTAGTTTAACACTAGTAGTGCTTGTATTCCTAATAAGAGATTAAACGTTAGCTGTAGAAAGAGATTATTAGGATTTTAGGTTCATTCAGTACTATAGATAGTTACCAACTCATCTTCATTGATATAACAGCTGCCAAGAATGTGGTGGACATATCAGGATCTTCAGTCAGGAAAACATCACAAACTAATCTGGCTCTAGATATATTCTTTCTAACCTAGAGAGTGAGTGTTTTACATTTGAAGGATACAGACAGAAGAGAACAGTCAGGACACACCAGATGGCTCCAATATTAACCTCTTTGCTGGCATCTACCACACTATAGTAACACTCAGTGAAGAGGAAAACTCCGGTTGCATAGACTGCAAAATCTACAAGCCACTGGTACTCCAGGAAAAAGCGCAGCACTGAAAATAGAAACAAGAACAAAAAAACAAAAACACAATCAAAATGAGAATTTCAATAAAGTTTCCATGCAGTGTAATATGCTGCAAACCACCGGCGGGACTTAACAGTGAAAGCTGGGCTTCGAGTAATATTTACTCTTGCACAACATTACTGTGATGTGGACGAAGAAGTATTTGTTTTACCGAGAGCGTCAATGACGTTGACTGGTGCTTTCTCCAGGTGAAGGTCAATGTCTTTGGGCACAGTGAGCGGCTTATTCTCCCCATTCTGCCGCCTATGAGCAAATAAAGGATGGAAAAAAAAATAACAATGCAAGCCTGAAGCATGAAGAAACGGATGGATGAGAAACACACTATAACGCTGTCATGGAGTAACACTAGAATCACATGATACAACTTTATAACTTCATGCTATAGCACGCAGTGGTCCTGCAGCATGAAGCACAGCCCTCCATTTCCCACCTGTCTCTCCTGTTTTGTTTGGGCATCTGCTTTCCTGCCAGGGCACACAGCTCTCCCTCTGAAGGGTGTTTGAATCGCAACAAACTGGAACAAACAACAAGCACATGTGTTAAAGCAGTTTAGTGCACTGTGTGAATTACGTAAAACCTGATTATATTACTGACAGTACCTGCCGTTGCAGAGGAGCCAGCGTGCAAATGAGCAATGTGGAGCCATCCTCTGCATTATGCTGGCGGCCAGTAAGCTGACCACAAGCTGAACTCCCATCAGCGCCTGTCAAATTAAACACACGCACTGAGTTTCCACCGTGCACTTGAGTGCATAGCGTCATTTTGTATAATGAGGATGTAGAGAGCACGAGCGCCTTGTCTACAACAGTAAGGACTCCGCAGCAAAGTTTGAAGAGCCGTAGAGCTGGCTACATCACGGTTTGTTTACATATAACAGTCTGTGGCAGAAGCTAACTCACGTAGGACATTAAAGAGATAATAGCAGGAAGAGGTTACGTTCAACAGCACTAAGAACACGATACGCTGGTAGCCGCTGCAAAATGAATGAAACTGAGCAAATGGCTATCGTGCTAAATTTAACTGGAGGTCCACCACCTGTCAGTACAGCTGGTTAGCATTAGCAAACTAGCTCTAACTGCCTCCCGAACACCTAAAAAGCGCTCGTCAGTGGGCTTCCCAGCACTCTGTAAGAAGCTGTTTTTATATATAAGACTATAAATGAAGTTACCATCTCTTCTTCCAAACGGCGTCGTTGAAACGAGAGTAACTAAAACAGCTTCTTCTCATGCAAGAAAGTCTTTGGCATCTGAACCTGCCGACATGTGGAGCTGTTAAATGTCCCGGATGTAGTCGTGGAGACGGGAGATGCCTTCAGGTGCTCCGGGAAAGAATCGTAAATCTGAAATGTGAATCCCCATATGCCTCTGAGGTGAAAGTCAATCTGGAGGTAAAAGTGTATTTTCTACTAATTTTTATTTATTTTTTCTTAATTGGTTAACCTTCAGAGAAAACGAACCATTGTTTTCATAATCACACATTCAAATTGCTAATGTTGAAAGATTTTCTTTTTATCTAAAGAGTCACTTTAGATAAAGTGAACCATAGATAAAGTTAGCCTGAACCATTCCTATATTTTGCTTGTTTTATGTTATTGTATTTTTGCACAACTTTGTTGCTCGTGAAGCTTGCACACAAGAATTTCACTCACATGTACTGTACCAGTGTACCTGCACATGTGATGTGACAATAAAAGTGATTTGATTTGAACACCCAGGTAAAAAAAAAAAAAAAAAAAAAAAAAAAAAAGGAAAGAAAAGAAAAGAAAAGAAAAGTTGCGGCCAAGCAAAATTAGAGCAGCCTAAGCCTACTGCGGGCAATCAGTATAAGAACTGAAAGGTGAGAACCCTTGAGAAAGAAAAACAGTATAGGTAGACAAAAATACAATTTCTACTACTCCTGCCCCTTCCTTTTTACCTCTTTAACATTTTCAATTACTAATATTAAAATGTGGATTTTGGGGATTTTGTTTATAATGTAGCAATTATAATGTAGCAATTAGGCATAGTATTTCACTTTCGCAACTTTACTGAAATCAAAATAACACAACAGCCATACTGTTGAGTGAACATTTTCCGATTACAACAGCCATAATCGGAAAATGTTCACTCGTTCACGTGAACATTTTCCGATTTTTATGAAGGCATCAGAATAACAATGTTTTGCTCTTAGTCCCCTGATAGAGACAAAAAAAATGCCACTGTGATAGTAAAAATATGATTGAAAATTATTGCATCATTTCCCCCGGTTTTACGATTTGAACATACAAAAAATAATAGTGTGAAAATGTCTGTTAATTAATACATATTCTGCAGTATAAAAATGACAAACAATAAGGAAACTTGTAAAGAGGTTTTGCTTTTACTTCTCATCTCTAATTAAATGTAAAATTGTACCCTTCATCTTTCCTTGTTATTCTTCAGTGCCCCTTAATGCCTCTGTGTGATCCTTCTAATGATAATCTCCAGGTTTCATGCTTCCACCATCATGCATCTTAGCATTTCATTGGATAAAAACAAACATTATGCAGATTGTGAAGCTTAAAGTCTCTGATATGCTCCTGTTACTCTCTGATTTGGTATTAAAACACTAAACACCAGGGAATGAGTAAAGAAGAGAGCACACTTTCTGATGCTATCATGTTATTAAAGTATTATTTTCCCATTTTGATGGGTAAAAAAAACTTTACTATACCAACACAGTTATCTTCAAACCTGAAGACAAAGTGTATGTCTTTGCAATTTGACAGTGTTTTAACACAATCTGCAGGCATCGGAATACAGTAAACCATGAGTTGTTCGGCACCTGAGACAGTGCAGGAAACAGCTCGGTGCATCCTTCATGGGTGGTATAGTTTGTCTCTGAAGTTCCAAATGATCGTACACCCAGAAACATATCCACACTTGGCCTGAACATGCATTATAATGTCAGCTCATCCCATCTAAAGCCCCCAACAGTGCCAAGTATTTCCAGCAGCATGCCCTCTAAAGATCTTTTTCCAAGACCCATTCACAGCATTTAAATCTGTGTTTAGCATGTGTGTTCATGTTATTTGGCTGGTCTCCTGAAGCTGATTGAATTTCAACTTTCTGCTAATTGGTGGCAGCCCTTCTACTAAAGATGTGCCTGATCCTTCGCCCTGTGAATTTGGGTGCGAGAGCATGGCGCTTCAATAGGAGCTGTGAATTTGATCAAATGGAGCTTTGTGCAGTGAAGCAACAGCATCTCTCGTGGGCATGTATGAACCATCAGGCAAGCATCTGCAAACATAAATCAAGTGAAATTAGTGGTTTAACTCAATATCAAGCTTTGCGTGCGTGACTGATGTTTATGATCCACCTCCAGCCTCCACCTTCAGGCAATGCGTTTGTGAGATTAGTAAGAGTTTTAATTAGAATTTCACTTTTGCATATCAGTTTTTAAGACATAGAGGTATTTGTTAAGCCATCTCTTGATGCTGCTGGGTTATGAAATACACACTGAGTCATTTCTGGCTTTGTCTTTTGTGGATAGCACAGCATTCATAGATCATCATGACATTGTGCAAACTCTGACTTTTCCAATGCCTACATCTGGCATTGATCACAAACAAAAGGAAATAGTAATTTCTTAAATATTTTGTATATTTTTCGAGACATTAAAATGTAATTCAGACCCAGAGAAGGAATGTCTCTGTCTGGGTGGAAAACATGTCCATCATTATCATCTTTGACACAAATGCAAATCCTTCTTCCTGTGTTAGCCATCTGTGGTTGAAGTGCTGGGGCAGAAATTACTGAGGAAAATGGACACAAATAAAATGCAAATTCACCACAGACTACAAGTGGCTCCCCTCCCTCTGCTCAGATCGGGGGGCCTCTTGGTTCCCACACCACTTCCCCGTGTTTCTCCCAGGGTGCTGCTGGGATACCGACGGCTGCTTCTGAGCCTGCAGCAGAGACGCAGCCCTCCCATTGGCTTGTCTTTGTTCACCCTCATGCATGACATTCATCACCTGATTTGAATATATGCAAATGTTGCAATGGTGCCCCGTCAAAGGAAACACTCCCCCCACCACCTCTCTCGTCTCCCTTCATTTTCCCCGCTCTTTTCCTTTTTGTCTCTTTTCCTAACTGCTGCCTCCTCTGCTGTGTGGGAACCAGCTACGGAGGGCCAGATCTGCTTTGTCACATGGATTTATTTAAAAGAGTAGTGAGAGTCATGATTGTTAATTACCAGGCATATATTATAAGGAAGGTTACACTGCATCTGTTAAGGCGATTCACTGCTGAGGCATTATCTTTTTAAAAAACCTCATCCCACATCTGTTTCTACAGTGTATACAAGCCAAACACTGTCATAGGTGTCAAATATAACAGTCTGGTTGGTTATTTCCTTTCAGAGTGATCAAATAGCTTTTATTTATCATGTACATTTCTGATCACTCTCCATTAATAAGAAAAAATGCATTTCTTTGAACCAGCCTCAAGGAACTTAGTATGCTGCAACAGGAGAAGCACAGATGTTGCATTCAAAATGGCTCTGTGCTTGAATGCAGCAGCCATACTACCAACATGCACCAGCTCAGGACCAAATATAATTCAGATCATTAATATTATTATGCACACCTGTGCCTCTTTTACCTGCCGTTATTTGGCAAAACGTGTCTGTGAACGAGGTTGATTGGAGGAAGAAAAAGAAAATCTAAGAGAGATTACTGACCAAAACCATTTAATGAGTGCTCTTTGTAAAAGCTTACATGCTATAATAAAAACAAACTGTAGTCACACACCTGTTGTGTCTCACCCACAAATGAAGCCTTTGAGATGCGTATTGGCCTTACATCTGCGTATTCACTGACCTATCATGGCCGTCTGTTTTCAGATTCAGAGACAAACACGGCAGAATTGGCTCAGCTTGATTCTGCTGCGATGCGTTAAGCTGTTGCGCTGGCGTCTCCTCACACGGTTTCTGGATTTGGGCGACATGAATGATTGCACACTTTAGATTGTAATTACGCAAATGTACGACGCTAATTCTGTTTCACCGAGTGCTTGTGTTTCCGGCAGCATAGATGATCCCATGGATCATCCACTCGCTCGCATGCACAGATGAGTGATGAACAAGTACACGCAAAAAAAAAAAAAAAAAAAAAAAAACCACGAGAAAGCTGGTGCTTGAGGTATTTTTTAACTTCTCTTTGCCAGAGGAAACGACAGTTACACTCACTTAACCAAAGATGAACCTTCAGCAGCTCAGTTTTCTCAACCACTACTGTACTCTACCACTACATCATGTACTCGGTATAAATTCCATGAATCCGAAGAATATCAAGTGTTAACTGGACGCACCTCTTTTTTTTACTCCAAGAAAACATTTCTTGGGGTAATATTTTGTCAGCCCCATGGGGGAGTCTTCTTACTCTTGGAAAGAAATTTCCAAACTCACATGCTCATTGTGAAACGTTTTCACTCAAATTTGTTGGTACACTAGGAAAAATGTCAAACAGGCAAAAATGTATAGTTTTTTTCATTTAGGAAAAAAATTAAATAAATCTACCCCCCTCCCCTAATTTTTATCTGCGCAGTCACATTTTCTAAATGACAACCGCTGTGCTTGAACTTGACCGACGGAATTGCCTGGGAAAAGAGGCGCGACTTTGGCCCTTTTGCTCTCCTCCTTTATGGAGTGGGGGGCTGCTAGAACTGATGTCAGCGCGAATTAGCATAAACTCCAGCCTGTTCCCAATTAAACCAGGAAAGCAGCAAGACCGTTCCTCTGTTTTCACATGGTGGAGAAAGCATCAACATCTCTTCCTCAGCCTGAGGATCAAGAACCAGAAGCAGGTGATGAAATGTAAGTTGAATGACTTTTCTGGTTATCAGTTTCTTTGACATGTAAGTTTAGCATTTGCACAGTATGTTTTTTTTCTTTTTCTGTTTTATTCTTTTTCTTTTTTTTAATGATCTGATCGCTTCTGTGTTGCATTCATGAACGTGGGGTTTGTTGATGTTGCAGCGATAAGTGCACGTGCCGCCTATGCTGTTGTGTTTTAAGTGTGTTTCATGAGTTGAGTGTTTGATTTTATCAGTGCGATGAAACTGATTTTGCTTTAGGTCAGTTGATCGCTTCAGGGCTGTGTGTAGGTATGTCAGCCCAATGCATGGACCTCTAAATGCCTCTCACAGATATTGAAAGGTTGGCCACCAGATCTCAACTGACCCAGGATGTAAGTGGGTCAGTCTCCAAATTGCTAATTAAGAATTACATGCTGTTAAAATAATTGCTTTTGTCACGTGCTGCTATACAAACAAACAAACAAACAAACAAGCTTCCTAGCATGGATT